TCTAACGCCCCAGCTATGTGTGTCTATGCCAGAGGACCACTGAATGATAGAGCTGTAAAGATTTGGGATATTGTCTAGCTAACTCATTTCCTGGAGGAGAAAGCGAAGGCCCAGAAAGGAGAAGGACCTTGGCCAAGATCATAATGCTAAGAAGGGGCAGAGCCAAGTCTTCCTCCTCCAAATGTTGAGCTCTCTCCATTCCACCAACTGCAGATACCTTGTAATTCTCCCAGGAGGATGTGAACTCCATGAGAGCAGAGATTAAGTCTTATTCTCTTTTACGTCGCTCACTGCCTAGCCAGGCCCTTGCACAGAGCCAGCATTCAGTAAACACTGGTGGAATTGATTAGAAGAAGGCTGGGTAGGAAGGCATTGGTAGAAGAAAATCTAAGGATAGAGTCCTATGCCCAAACTATGTCACTAATCATTATGTGATTCTAGGTACCACCCCAAGGCTAGGTGACTCAGTGGCTAGAGTGCTGGGCCTGGAGTCAGGAAGACCTGAGTTCAAATTTGACCTCAGACACTTTCTAGCTGTGTGACCCTGGACAAGTCACTTAACTTCTGTATGCCCTAATCCTGAAGAAGGAAATGGCAAACTACTCCAGTATCTTTGCCAAGAACCTCATGGACAGTACAATCCACCAGGTCATGAAGAGTTGGACACAACTGAACAAAAACAAAGGCACCACCCCACCCCCCAAACTTTTCTGAGCCTTAATTTTCCCACCCAGTAGCTGGTGGCGTAGTGGATAGAACTCAGAGGCCTTGGAATCAGGAAGACCCGAATTCAAATATAGCCTCAGACACTGTGTGACCCTGGGCAGGTCACTTAACTTCTGTTTGCCTTAGTTTCCTCTACTGTAAAATGTGGGGAAATAGCAGTATCTACTATATGAGATAGAGATAACATTTGCTTAAAAAAAAAAGGAAAAAAAGAAAGAAAAAAAGCACTTAGCACAGTGTGTAGCACATTACATAAATGCTTATTCTCTCTTCATTTATAGTGTGAAGGGGGTTAACTAGATGATATGAGGTCCCTTGCCATTCCAATGCTCTATGATTCTCTGGAAACCTATCTTTAAACTCTTGATTGTGGAGGCCACGGAATAGAATACTTTAGCTCTATGTAGATTCAGACAAGACTGAGGGATACAGAAGAACTTAATTAAGGAAAGGCACCAGAAGTCCACAGTGTCAAGGAAAATGCAATGATGAGGCTAAGGGGATGAACTGCAGTGTATCCAGGATGGTGCCACCTCCAGTCCAAACAAGTGTCCACTAGGAAAACCCTAGGTCCAAAGTCAGCCTAGCATTCAAGGCCCTCCCAATCTGGCCCCACCCTCCCTTGGGAATTTCAAAAAGGGGAGAAAGTTCCACTGATCAGCCTCATTTTGGGGGGCAGTCTTTCCTAGAAATGAGACAGGGGAGGGTCCAGGTGGTTTTTCCAGTCCTGAGCTTCCCAGGAAACCCCACATTCTGTTTTTCTGTGGGTCCAGCTTCCTCCCACCCCACCATATTCCTGATACTCTGCTTTCCCTCTTTGAGTCTCCTACCAGAGGTCTTTGGGAGCAGAGGGTGGGTGGTGGGCAGTGAACTGAGAGTGATGGAGGGGCTTACTTCCTTCTGGAAGCAGTGAGAGGGATATTGATGGTTTAACTAAGGAAGCTGCGGGGATTGGGGAGTTGGAACCAAGCCATGAATTTTAAATCTCGAGTGGGTGCCTTCCCTCCCCAATCATCTCCTGCTATATAGTATATAGTTAGCCTATTGCTTCACTGGCGCTCTCCACTACCCCACCCCACCCCAATCTATTGGAAAATATTCCTTTCAGTTCCCTCTTCTCTCAAGCCCCTGAGACCTCCTTCTGAGCCTGGGCCACCTGTCCCAAAGAATAAGCTTCCTTGGGGCAGCTAGGTGGCACAGTGGATAGAGCACTGCCCTTGGATTCAGGAGGACCTGAGTTCAAATCTGACCTCAGACACATAACACTTACTAGCTGTGTGACCCTGAGTAAGTCACTTAACCCCATTGCCTAGCCCCCCAAAAAAATGTAGTTAAAAAAAAAAAGAAGAAGCTTCCTCTTGCTAGGCTCTGGTGGCCTCAAGGTTTCTTCCTCCTAGCAGGGGTTTGCATTTTAACAAGAAGAGCCAGGAGTGGGCAGTACCTAGGACAAAGGGATGCTGCATTTATAGGAGAATTTCAGGTACCTGGTTAGGATGAAGTGAGGGTGTGATTTTTGGTCGAGGTGTTCTTCCTCTAAGCCTTAAATTGGGGGGAGGGGGAGGTAGGAGGTAGGGAGGAGAGAGAAGGGGACTGGAAGCCTTGGTCCTAGTTACTGTCATATCATGGTCTGGATTCCCATCCCCTTCCTTTAGGGCCAGAAGAATCTCTGGGCATGGGATACCTGCTCCCCTCCCTGATGAGACAGGAGGTGAGAATCCCACCTTCAACTGTGGGTTCTCTGTGGCTGCACCCAACCAAAGATCCTAGGACCCTAGAATTTTGAGCTAGACGAGGCTTTGGAAACCATCCAGCTCAACACTGTCATTTCACGGATGAGGCAACTGGGAATCAGAGAGGGGATGTGACTTGCCTTGGGTAACAGAGCAAGTAGCAGAGGCAAGATTAGAACTCTGGTCCTCTGACTCCACAAGCGAGAGGGAAGAAGAGTCTTAGCCCTAGGTCCTCTCCCACCTTCCCCTAACTACCGAGGGAGGGCGAAGGGCAGCAGAGGCTTTAGCACTTTCAGATCTATGCCGCCACCGTTTCTTCGCCTCAGGTGGCCTCCCTGTACTCTGGGTCAAAGAGAAGGGACCCAGAGCCCCAAGCTGAGATTTCGGAACTTGCTCCTGTCCCAGGTAGCCCCTCACCAGCTCCTGCAGTCAGCCCCACTCACCAGACAGAGTCGCGGTCCCCTACAGCCTTGGCACTGAACCACCACCGCTGCCGCTGCCTCTGATGCTGTTGCTGCCGCTACCACCACTGCAGCCTCTCTAGCTCTGGAGCCCAGAATTGCCTTAGCTCCAGCTCCCTCTGCCTGGTAAGGGAGGAGGAGAAAGCAGCAAGGAGGGGCGCCCTCCTCTTCTTTAGCCCTAGAAGGGGCGGTGCTGGTAAGGGCGGGGTCTCGTCCAGGATCTGGGGGCGGGGAAGGAACGTCAAGTGGAGTAAGCTGAGGTCTGCCGACGCACCACCTCCCTGAGGTGGTCCTGTGCCCTGACGAGGTGAGGATAAGTTGGGGCTTAGATAATACAGTGGGCCTCAGTTTCCCCTCTGTAGCTGGAAAGGACGGAGGAGACATTTTTGCTACATTTTATTGACCCTCGTAGCCCCCCCTACCCCCTCACAGCCCTCAGTTTCTCCATCAATATGAAGGGGTAAAGGCAATATCCTTCCCTCTTTCCCCAGCCCTCCCCCGTCCTCCAAATCCGCAAGGAATGGACTCCTGGTCCTGCTCTGTGCACTTTCAGGTGTTATGTGGGTACTTGGGTGCTGCTGCGACAGGTCCTGTGATGATCTGTGAGTTTGAGGGGTAAGAGAGACTCCCCACCCTTTTCCCTTCCAATCCAGGTCATTGGCCCATTATACAGACTCCTCCAGCGATTGTCCCAGGAACTTGCACATAGTAGGTTTTCAGTAAATGTTTGTTGGATTTGGACTGCAATGCATTGCATCGTATTGAATCGAATTGAAGCAGCTGTGTTTTAGTGATGAGCACTGGATTTGACATCAGACATTTACCAGTTGTATAACCTCAGGCAAGGCACTCTCTCCTCCCTTTAGGGCCTCAGTTTCCTCATATGTAAATGAGAGCTGGACTGAAGAATCTCTAAGGCTCCTTCCAGCTCCAAGTCCCATGATGCTATGAATTATCTTCCCTGCACATAGATGTCTAACCTGGAAACTGTTTTCTGCCTGCATTAGAACTGGTATTCTCTTCCTGACTCCTCCACTCCCACCCTCCATTATCTAATAACTCTTTGTGCCAAATGGGGAAGGGGGGAAAAGAGGTTTCCAGGGGTTAGACCTCTAGTTGACCATTTGGGCACGGGTGTGGTGGATCTATTCTCCCATTGCTTTTAAGGAGACCTGCATCTCTGGATCACCTGGGTGGGGCTGCCCATACAAAAATGACAATAACTCTTGACCGGGAGTGCATCTGCCTCCCAGGCCCAGGTGGCCTCTGGAGAGGAGTGGAAAATAGTGAAAAGGAGGACTAGAAAGTGCCTCCAGTTGGCACAGGTTGGAGAGGACATCTGACACCTATTTACTGTGAAAATCCAGCATTTAGAGGTTGGAAATTACCCCCAAAGGACTGCTCCCCTCCCCTCCTGCCCCCCCCCCAACTCTCAAGCCTGGCCTGGGTCACTAGGGGCTGGGGACAGCTGACCAGATCAAGAACTAGCAGGAGTTATCAGGCAGGCCACTAGACAAACTGGATGGATTACTGGTCCCTCTAGCCAGGCCCCAGGACACCATTCAGGGACAAATCCCATCAATGTTAATGTCTCATTGGTTGGGATTGTTCTCTCTCTGGGACTCATTTCCTAGAATTATCCCAGTGGATTCTGCCCCAGTAATGAAGGGAAACACCTATTTTTAGATCTGGGATGGCTGTCCAAGCCCTTAACCCCAAAGCAGGCTAGGCTTCGTTTCCCCAAAGGACAGAGATGTCCAGACCTATGATCCCCATTCCCATCACTTATGCTCATCCTGGTGGAACCTCTGTTAGAATGAAATGCTGGCTACCTGTTTCCTCACTGCCAGCTAGATACATTTGCCCACCATCTATCTACCTTCTGAAGCCTAGGATAGGACCTGGAATGAGTGCCCAGGTCTTCTTGACCAGGCTAGAAAGGAGAGCCACGAATGTAGGGACTCTAATGCTGTTTGGGGGGGAGTCAGGGTGGAGTAGCAGCATTCCTGCCCTCCCTCCCCACCACCCCAAGGGGAGGCTGAGGCTGAACTGAGCTCAGTCCCGTGAATGTCTGCACACTTACCCTTGTGCCAGCTGCTGTCCCTCTCCTGGCCTCAGTCTCCTGGACTCTAAAGTGGGTCTGCTGCTGATCTTCCTTAAAGGGCTGTGATGCCCAGTCGATCCAAGCAGTGATAGGCTTCAGGCAAATGCCAAGTCTATAAAGTGAGTCTAGGGAAGGGGGAGGGCTCTCTGAGCAGAGAGACACGCACTTCAGGGTAATGAATTACTGCAGAGATGTCGGCAGCCAGAGGCCAGCCAGCCAGTTGCCAAGAATCCTTCCTTCTGAGATGACTTTTCGCCACTCCTCAGCGCACAGGGAAAACACAGCGGGGTGTCTAGCCTTGGGGCGGGTGGGTGGGCTGGATGCAGAGGCTGCCAGCTGTGCCTAGTGCCGGCTCAGCTCCTCTCCCCTCCTTTTCTCTCTTCTCCTCTCCTTTTCTCTCCTCTCCCCTCCTTTTCTCTTTTCTCTTTTCTCCCTTCCTCTTCTCTCTCCTTCTTGGCTCTCCTCTCCCCTCTGCCTGCTGCAGTCTGGCTCCCTGGGGGCTGAGGACTGGCACCTGTTGCAGATTGTGGAGGTCCTTGGATGAGAGGCAGGTTTATACCACAGGGAGACAGAGCTGCCCAATCCTAGCTTCTCTCTCAGGGGGAGGGGAGGCAGAGACAGACAGGATTCCCAAAGCCCTCATTTGCCTAGCCTGTCAGTCTGGTCTGGATATGCCATCTGTGCCTTCAGGTGGAACCAACAGTCCCCAGGGTCCTGAGTGGCCCCAGACACTTGAGCTATGTGGCCCCAAAGGCTGGAAGGGCAGGACCCAATGATTGCCTGTTTAAACATGTTCCTCTGGGGGGTGGGGGGTAGGGGGAATGGCGCTCTATGATTTAGTGTCTCATAACACTGAATCACCAGATGGCAAGTAGCTGTAGCTATTGAAGAATGTGTAATCTCAGACTCCCCCTCCCACCATCCCCTCACCCACAATTCCCTGGCCCTCATCCCCTCTCTTCTGAGGCTACCTTCCCTTGGACCCTCAGCTGTCAGGGTTGACCTTGGGGGAGGTGTCCTACTCTCCCCACATGGTGCATGAGCACTCATTCATCGAATCTGGTTGTCCATCAAGAAATGCTGAAGGATAGAATGTAAACAAACAGATTTTGAAGATTCGTTCTCTATTGAAGAGGTTACTTGGTGGCTAGAAGCTGGCTCCCACTCCCACAAGCAGCCTAACCCTAGTGATAGGGAAGGGGAGACCACAGAGCAGCATAGTAGAAAGGGCATTAGACTCAAGAATCAAGAAACCTGGGTTTTAATCCCAGCTTTGTCAGTGACTTGCTGTGTGACTTTAGGTAAGCTGTGTTCCCTCTCTGAGTCTCAGTTGTAAAATGAAAGTGTTGGACCAGGTGATCTCTAAGTTCCCTTTCAGTACTAACAATCTGTAAATTTAAACCAGGGTTGTTCACCTGTGAAAGGGAAACGGGGTGAAAGGGGAGAAATTCTCTATCCCTCCGGCCCTCATGGGGATACCAGAATGAGAGACAGGAGAATGCCAATCGGGTAACTAACACACCTTGATGAACCACTTCTGTGTCCAGACCTGGGCTCTGAGGGGCTGGAGAAAGGGATGGTCGGGGGGAGACAGAAAAGGAGCTCACAGTGTCCAGGGAGCCAGGAAGACTAGCCCCAGGTTTCACCCTTGGAGAGTTCCCAGTGTGGAGGAGCTGGAGGAAGAGCAAACCTAGGGGAGCTGATAGTCTGGCTAGGAGAGAGCACACGCATACAAAATTGTTGCAGAAAAAAAACAAGCCAGCAAGTGTGAGATTGTGCAGTTGCAATAAAGGGCTTTAATTTTTTGAAGAAGGAAGGAAGGAAGGAAGGAAGGAAGGAAGGAAGGAAGGAAGGAAGGAAGGAAGGAAGGAAGGAAGGAAGGAAGGAAGGAAGGAAGGAAGGAAGGAAGAGGGTCCTGCAGACTGGGGGTGGTTGGGGCAGGCTTTCTGCAGGAGGAGACGTGTGTTAGGCCTCGACACAAGGGTGGGATTTGGACTGATGGGAGCCAGGGAAACACTGAGTAGGGAAGTATCCTTGAGGAAAATAGAGTGCTTCCCCACAGAGGACCAGCAGGGTTATGTCTCTGGGCTTAAGAGCGCCCAGCAAAATGTGGCCCTGTCCTAGAGGGACCCAGATCCTCAGGAAACAGAATCAAGCCTGATTGATGGGGACACTCAAGTGGGAGTGTGAGCAGAGCCTAACTAGGGTGTCTGGGGATTTACTGCCCAGGCCACCAAAAAGCCAAAAAGCACTTATCCTTCATTCCTTTGTTCTTTTGTTCCTTCCTTCTTTCTCTCCCTCTGTGCACATAGGGAATCATACCTTTTACCTGTGAATGCTCTACCCAAAGAAATAAATTCTGATGGCTGAAACCTTGAAAAATATCTTGGGATTTTCGGGCTAGATTTTTTTTTAAGGACCTTGCTTTAAACCCAAATCACTGTAGCTCTCACTGATTGACCAACAATAGGTCTCAAGCCACATTTGGTCATTGTTTGGGCTCTGACATTTCAGAATGAGTGTAAATAGCAATTGTTTCTGTTTTGCCCAAAAACCCTGAGGTCTTCCCCTCCCAAACTGATCTTTTTTTTTTTTGACTAGGTAAAAAAGGTCATTCTTTGTCTAATTTTTTACCTAGGCTTAATCACTGAATGGGTGCTGCCTCAAACAAACTGAGACCTAGAAAAGACCCTAGCTTAAAAAAGCCAAGGTCTCCAACTGCATCCAGGGCCATCTCCAATAGTCCTGATCTGTATCTGGCCACTGGAACCAGATGGCTCTGGAGGAAAAAGTGAGGCTGGTGACTCTACACAGCCCTCCCTCACTTAAATCCAGTTCACTTGCAAGTCATGACATCACCTTCAAGAATAAAGAACAAACAATTGTAGAAATTGTGGAACATAGCACTTAATTAGCAAGGATAACGAGTTAAAATAGCAAACTTCCAGGTCATGATGGGTGAGCTCCTCTCCTAGCTTTGTCCAGTTCCCCAATCCAGAACTGGCTGGCTAATGTATCCCCGGGTTTCTGGTAATACTGCCCACCCCCAACTAAACCGAAGATAAGCTTCATGTTGCTCTCCTTGGATACAAAAATTGCCTGTTGGGTTTGAGGATCCAAACCTTCCAGGACCTAGAAATGAGAAGCAAGGGAGCTAGGAAAAGCCTTCTAGGGTCTAAACTCCAGTGCACATCATGAGATCATAGACTCAGAGCCAAAAGGGGCCTTAGAGATTATCTGGTTCAATCTTTAGACCATCTAGTCCCATTTTATAGATGAGGAAACTGAGACCCAGAGAATTGAAGCAATTTGCCTGAATTCACACGAGCAGGTAGCAGCCAGACAAGGATTCCAACTAATTCCATATTCAGCGCTCTTGCTGCCCGTACCATGTTACTTCCCCCTTCAGCTGTGTCTTTCATTACTGGTCCTGAGGTTGTCATTTTTTTTCCAATCATGTCTGACTTTGTCAACCCCATTTAGGGTTTTCTTGGCAAAGATACTGGAGTGGTTTGCCATTTCCTTCTTCAGCTCATTTTACAGATAAGGAAACTGAGTCAAGTAACTTGCCCAGGGTCACACAGCTAGTATGTGTCTGAGGCCAGATTTGAACTCAGGAAGATGTCTTCCTGGCTCCAGTCCATCATTCTATGAACTACGGCGCCACCTAGCTGCCCATCACATGTCAAACTGGAGTACTCACTACACCCCCTAGTTTCCAATCTCCACTCTATGCCTGGAATGCCTTCTCTCCCCTCTCTTCCATTTTGGCCTGTAAAAATCCTATCTATCTTACTATATTGTGAACCAACAGTAGTAATCCTGCCTTATTTGTTTTTGTATTTTACCTGGGTAAGTGCTCTGCTCAGAGCAGATGCTTAACAAGCAGTTATTAAACAAATGAATGAATTCTTCAGGTCCCAATTCAAGTGTCACCTCCTCTTTGAAGCCTTCCTTGATTCTAAACTACTGAAGCACCCTTATTGTCCCTCTTATTCACTCGTCTTCCGTTGGGTGTTTAAAGTCCTCCCTAGTCTGGCTCCAACCTACCTTTCCTGATTTATTGCATATTAGTTCCTCTCATAAACTACCTTCCAGTCCAACTTACCTGCTTGCTGTTCACTAACCACTGGACAGTCCATCTTCTAGCCCTGTGTTTTCGCCTGGAATGTGCTCCCTCTCTCAGAATCCTTGCCTTCCTTCAAGGCTTAGCTCAGACAGCACCTCCTACTGAAGCCCTCCCTGATACTCCGACTTGTTAGTTGATACTTGATACTTCTCAGATTATCTTGGATTTACATACAGATTTATACGTTGTATCCTCCAATAAAGCATAAGCTCCTTCAGGACAAGAATGGCTTTTTTTTTAGACAATTGGGGTTAAATGACTTGCCCAGGGTCACACAGATAGCAAGTGTCTGAGGATGGATTTGAACTCAGGTACTCCTGACTCCAGGGCTAGCGCTCTATCTACTGTGCCACCTAGCTGCCCCCAAGAACTGCTTTTCATTTTTGGTTTTCATTCCTTAGGATTCAGTAGAGTTCCCATCAAAAAAGGAGGCAATTAAAACTGAACTGAACAAAAAACTGAATTGTTCTAATTTGTCCTCTCTAAAAGCTTGTATCTCCCTTAGGGTCTGGAACAATGCTGTGCACACAGTAGGTGCTTAATCAGTGTTTGATGTGTGCAGGAAAGTGGGGCCCTTTCTGTGGAGTTAGGTGTTGAGGGCCGATCTTAAGAGTCTGATAAGGGCTCGCTGATTAAGTGGTATGGCTCCCCACTTCCTTCCTAATTTTGAGGTCTCTGAGATATTCCTTCTCTCTCTTTGAATCTTAGATTTACATATTTACTCCTCTATGCAGGTGCCTTGGAATCTACAGCCCAATCTAGGAACCCGGATAAGGAGGAAATTCATGATTGTTACATACTCAGCAGATGTTCTGGGGAGTATCTCACAGGGAGGACTCTTTGAAGTTAGGTTAGATCTTCCCTATATATTCTGTGCCCTCAGATGAATAAACTGAGTCAGTAATTCTACTCCGCCTGGCCCATGTCATAAGTTATTTCACGCCTCTCCGTTCGGTGTACAATCTGGTTGCGGGCAACAGTTAGGCAGCACTTGCTGGGGAAACTGAGGGACCAAACCTCAGGTCCTTGGCTGTACTGTTCTGTCTTCTTGAATGCAAATGTCTGACCAGCAACCAGTAATCCTGGGAGATGGATATTTCTTGTAAATTGGAGAGTTTCTGGGA